GAAAACTCTTAAGTGTACCCTTAATATCATTAGGCTTGAATATCAAAGATTTTTCAGAGTTCATGATACATATGCTTCTCATGCAGGAGCTGGCCCTATGTCATGGCAAAAGGTATTCAGCCTTGTCAAGGTCCAGTGGTGATACATATGCTTCTCATGGAGGAGCTGGCCCTATGTCATGGCAAAATGTATTCAGCCTTGCCATGGTGATACATATGCTTCTGCATGCACAAGAGCCGGCCCTATGCCATGGCAAAAGGTGAAGGACTTCTCTCTCATGTCACTATTCAGAGCATGGTAAGCATGGCATCAAACTCTTCGTAGAGGTTTCCCAACTGTATGCAGGTGGTGGCGAAGGGGATCACTTTGTTTCTTGTGGTAGTGACCACTCATCACCTTCGTCTCATGTGGACGAAGAGACAGTCGTCAAAGCTTATTTGAGATGGGCCCTAGGCTGTCGCACTTCTTGAAATGCCTGCTGCTTGGTTCGCCCATGCTGGTGACCTGCAATGTAATATGCCCTTTTATGCCATATACCCGCTGAATCCATCCATGATGTTTGCCCATTCTTGTCAAAAGAACAAGAGATGTAATAATACTCCATTATTTGAGCCCACTATGCTATTGCTATGTGATGTGATTATCTTTGATGCCTTATTCAGTCATGTTTGCTCCCCTGGCTTTCAATCTTGTCTTGCTCACTTTTGGCAAAAGAACAAATAACTTTACTCAAACACAACAATCATTACAGGTACAATGCTTTTATGGTAATTATGATGAACCAAGAATTATGATGAAATCTTTTTATGGTAATAATTTTTTGTACATGAAATTCTTCCAAAGACTTCAACAAAGACATTGCAATTAGACTAGAAGGGCACAGAAGAACTCTCTTACCGCAATTAAACTGGAGTAGCAACACTGCCACTTGTGCTTGATTATCAACAAAGGTTTCAGAGATCCCCTTGATTCATCGAAACTACAAGATGGGAAGTTGTGAGCGATAAATGGACTTGGGCCGGGGATGATGCCCTTAGAAACCGCATGCTGTTGAATCACCTCTGATATTGTACTTTTATCAAGTGTCAAGTTACATTGTACTTTTGGAAGAATATACAACAAAATCTTCTTGAGTCCAAATCTGTTACATTGCCTCCAATAAGAGTTTACTTAAGCCCCTATAAAAATAGTTGAATTAGGTCACCATTTTGTACGTGCTCTTGCGTGGAAGAGCATCTTTTAAACTACCCATTGGCCATTGCCATCACATATAATATTTTGGGCACTATTATCAAAATAAATTAATCGACACATATGCACTATTGCTCTCCATGTGGTGGTTTCAATGAGATTCCTACCCCAACACAGGGAGCACATGCATGCATGAATCTCTCACATCATGCTGAAATCATCACATTAAGTGCAAAATACGAATTTTCAAAATGAACTATCTTCCACCAACATCAATTTTCATATTATTTTTTGCTTTTTCTTTGTCATGGGCATGCTGTAAGTGATTCTACTTACTGAAACCGGTAATATGGAGTCTACAACAACAACAAAAAATAGCGGATTGAATTTCTGCATGTGTATGATTCTGCTTGTCGTTCTTTTTGTTGTTTTTATCCTGTTGAGATATGAACCAGCCGCTGCATATGAGAGGAGTTGGTCTAGGAATGAAATGTCCACATGATAAATAGAACAGCTCGGTGAAGAAAATGTGAACTTATATGTTCTATATGAATATTGTTATGACAAATTCTAAGAAATCAAGTAGGGATCCTCTACTTGAGTGTGCCATCTTATTTCCGCTAACTGCGGCCTCAAAGCAAATTTGTTTTATTTTACTCTCTTGATCTTTGTCTTCTTATGGCGAAGTTCCGAAAAGTGGCCTAGTATAGTGCCTGAAATGTTAGTGCAACTATATGATTATGAGCAATATATACACTAATTGAATGACTCAAGTCCATGACGGATTTTCTTCTTAACTGTTAGGATCAATGTCATTAATACGCAACACGTTTTTCATTGCTGATAGAAGAAGTCATATTTGTATCTTAGAGAAGCTTGTACTATTGTTTCTATTGTAAGTTCGCACATTCATATGCATTGAGAAATAACATAAACAACAAGCATGAAAACTAGCCTATTGAAATTATTGCTCATTGGTTATTTCTATTAAGATCAGATATTTTGTTCACTAATTTAACATGATTTTGCAGGTATTGTATATTCTCCAAGAATGGTTAGCGAGGAAGGGGTATACCGTGCAGACTAGTAGTCTAGGGACAGGTGAGCTAGGTTGACTATTTTTTCTTGAATGCTACTCCCTCCGTTCCTAAATATAAATCTTTATAGAGATTCCACTATGGACCACATACGGATGTATATAGATGCATTTTAGAGTGTAGATTCACTCATGTTGCCGCGTATGTAGTCTATAGAGAAATCTCTACAAAGATTTATATTTAGGAACAGAGGGAGTATATGATTTCCATATGCACATATGGGTGTTTGCTTCTGAGAACCCTCTTCGTACTATTTCGACTAACAAGCTACAGAAACACACAATGGCCGCCGAAAAAGTGATTAGACAAACCCTGTCCTCAATACACTTCCTAACACCATGAAACACCTGCATATTAGTGAGGAAGTGTTAAATCCAATTACTAAGAATTGGAAGCTTGGTTCAAACTGAATCTTGATTTCTTTTTTCATGATTTTTGTAACCTTCTGAGGACATGCTGTGCGTTATTAGCAACTTGTGAAGGCGTATTGGTTTTCCCTTGATTCCAATTTTCTAACCAGCATGATTCCTTTAGTACAACAAATATTTATATATTTTCACAAATCTGCTTACTTGTCAATTTCTTTGTTTTATCAGTCATTCCACCAATTCAAGTGTATTAAAACGATGACACTACCAAAATATTATGGGAAAAATCACTCCCTCAAATTGCTTAGTTGAACTTAGAGTTTGATGTTTTAGCAGTCCGTTTGACTTATTGATGTACTTGCATGTAGATTTTCTATAGAGCTGGTGAGCCAGGACATATACTAGAGAGAAGTGTACGGGCAGGTGAGCTCAATCTCCTCTCCATTTGCTAAAATATATATATTTTTTAACATTTGTATTAAGGCCACAAAAACACAAGTTGTACGACTAAATTAGTTGGCACTAGATATGCTGAGAATAATGAAATAAAAAGTTATTAAAAATGAGAACGTCATATACACTTCTCAACTCCCAAAAGGAATTAAAGGTTTTATTAGCATACTTGTTAAAAGGAATCGTCTTCTATAGGATAAATTACTAATTTGAATTTGTTACTATGTTCAAAAGGAGTCGTCTTTGATTTATTTTTACATGATGGATATAAAAGTTTATCAGACGGTACCGAAATTTAGTGCTTTGGTTCATCTAACATGATTTATCTACAGGGCTATATTTCATAAAGGTTGTGAACCGGCCAGGGTGCAAGTGGTACGCAAATGTATAGAGGTGAGCAACACCACAACGTATTATGTAGTTTATCATAGTAGAATTCGTGTATGAATAGTCATAGTTTTGTGGTTTCAAATTTTCATACCATAAAAATGCATACAACTTCTAGAGTTTCACAATTACATAAAATAAAACTATGTAATTAGTAAGAAAAGACAAACTATTTTGATTAAACTGAAAAACAATGTCGCCTAATAAAGTGACAAACGATGGCCCTTGATGTCTTACGAAATCAGAGGTCTCCTACAGCATCGTACTAACCAGCTTTAAAGTTTAATGAATCTGCTCCATTGCTCAGATGTTTCCGTTGCATATTGGAACCCATTGCTTTCCTGGTTTTATTAGTGTCTCAGCTTAGTATGATTGCAGTTCAAAAAAGGAAAAAGCTTGGTATGATTCGCACATCGGTTAGGGACAGCAAACCCTAAGAATATGTATGATAGTCTTATCTTAATCCTGTCACATAATCTGGAAATAGCAAAAACAGAATGATGTACGATGGGTTTTCTTCATTTGATCTCTATTGACTAGACTTTTCTAAAATGTGGTGAGAGATCTGTCGCTAAGAGATCATCTCTTAATTAAAAAAACACAAAGTTTTTTTTAACTCCACCGCAACATGACATTGCTAAGATAAATATTTTGTACATACCTTAATATTGTCAAATAGTAGTGCTTTACCGGTAGCTGGAGCTCACGTGACACTAATACTGCGGACCGTTTTCCAGTTTTGGGAACCTTCTAGGAGGTTCTCCTATTTTTCTGGCTGTTTTTCTCTATGTTTTTACTTTCTCTTTCCTTGGCCAGTTTTTCTATTTGGTTTAGTTTTCTTTTTATTTTTCAATTTCCATTTTGATTTTGATTTTTTGCATTTCTTCTTTTCAATCCGTGAGCATTTTTCAAATCGTTACACTTTTTAAAAACCTGTGAACCTTTTTAAAATCTCCGGACACATTTTTAAAATCTGTGAACCTTTTTAAAAATCCACAACCACTTTTTTTTAGAATCTATGGACATTTTCTAATTAAACAATATTTTTTAAAATTCGCAACTGTTTTCTAATTCACGAACATCTTCTAATATTCACCAAAATTTTTGAATTTGCGATTTTTATAATATGTGCACATTTATATTTAAAAAAGCGGACGTTTTTCTAAAGAAAAACAGACAAGTTGTAGAAAAACATACGAAGCAAGAGAGCAAGCGAGAGTCAACAAAGGGTTACCGGGCCAGGCCCATGCGGGAGACCCCCTGGCCGAACTGGTGCGTTAAGCGCCGAGGAAGAAAAGGTATTGTGATAACAAATGAGCCGAATAGTGCTTTACCGGTAGCTGGCACTTAATAACTACTCCCTCCGTCCCATAATGTAAGACGCTTTCTGACACTACAAAAAGCGTCTTACATTATGGGACGGAGGGAGTAGCTGCTTTTTCTGTTTCGGCCTTCTTGTATATTCCTAGGTTTTCCTGGCCACTTTTCTCTCTGTTTTTACTTCTGTTTTTGGCCATTTTTTCTACTTAGTTTCATTTCGTTTTATTTTTCATTATTCATTTCAATTTTTTCTTACCTTTTTCATAATTTTTGAACTTTATTTATATTCACAAAATTTCAGATTAAGTAAAGATTTAAAATTTATGATCCATTTTTAAATCTGTGATTTTTTTCCAAACCACATTGAATCCACAAACTTCTTTCAAATCCGCAAACTGATTTCAGAATCTGTAAACACTTCTTTCCAAATCAGCGAACATTTCTTGCTTCACAATTTTTTTTAAAATTCACGAACAATTTTCAAATTCACAAACATTTTTTCACATTCCCAAAAAATGAATTTACAAACTTAAAAAAGGTGAGCATCTTAAAATACTGACTTTTTTTTCTAAGAACAAAAAACTTGATGTAGTAGAATAGAAGCCGAAAAACACAAAATAGTGGGCGCCAAGCGAGCGAGCGAAAGTTACTGATCACGCCGAAAAGGACGTCATGGGATGGCAAATTACATTTGGCGCTTATGGGCCAAATAATGTTTTACCGGTATTCCCTCTATTTTTAGTTTTGTTTCTTTGGCCGGTTTTTCTTTTAAGTTTTGTTTCTCTTTTTATATAAATTCTTCATTTTTTTTCTCAAGATTTCTTTAAATGTCTTTCAAATTCATAAACAATTGTAAACCCACAAACTATTTTCATATCCGCAAACATTTCTAAAATCTATAACCCTTTTTCAAATTCGACCACAAAATCTGCGTACATTTTTATATTTCACCAAACTTTTTAAATATGCATGAATAATTTTGAAATTTAGGATAATATTTTTGAATGTGCAACTTCTATTCAATTCCTGAACATTTGTAGTTGATAAACTGGGTGTTGTTTTTCGAAGTGCATGAGACCAACTGTAGCAGAATACAAGCAATGAAGTACCATTTATTTTTTAAGAATACAAGAAAAAAATGAGCGGGCGCAGAGCGAGCAGGAACCATGCGAGCTTTAGTAGGCTAGGTGGTTCACCAACTGCCACATTAACCGTCGAAGAGGATGTCTCGGGACAGCAAATCCTATTTGGTGCTTATAGTGCCAAATAGTGTTTTACCGGCAGCTGCGCCCTGGGAACGTTCTAGAATGTTCCCCTAGTTTTCTCTCTATTTTACTTTTTTTTCCTGGCCATTTTTTCCATTGGATTTTCTTTAAAAAAATTAATTTCCTTTTTTACTTTTCTTTATTTTTCTGAATTCGTGATCAGTTTTCCATATTCAGGATCTTTTTTTTAATTCCTGATCGTTTAAAAAATTCATGAACTTTATAAAAATCCATAAACACTTTGCCAAATATGTGGGCATTCCTTTTATTTCATGAACATCTTTTAAAATCCACAAATAATTTTAAAATTACCAATAAATTTATAAAATTTAATAAAATTAATGAAAGTTATTTGAACAACCGGTCGGTTCCTTTCTAAGAACAGTAGACAAATTGTAGTAAAATAGAAACTAAAATCAAAATACGAAACTAGTGGGCGTAGAGCGAGCGGCAGCCTAAGCAAACGTTAGTGGGTTGGGCTCATGGTAACGTCAAAGAGGAGCTTGTTCCCGTGCTTATTCACTAGCGCAACTGGGCCGGTCCAAACACTCATCTCTCACATCATCGGTTTCCAGGGCTGGGTATCTGGTTTTTGTAGTTTTTTTTTCAAATGCATGAACTTTTCTGAATTAAAATACTTTTCCAAACACACAAATATTTTTAACTTGTGATTTTTTTTAATTTTTTGTGATTCTTTTTAAATTTATGACGTTTTTACAATTTCGATTTTTTAAAAAAACTTGTGAACTTTTTTCAAGGTTATTTTTCTTTCAATTTTATGTTTTTTTTTTAAGTCAACTGTCAACCGAGTGAGCCAAGGAAGGTCGCATAGCTTGGCCGAACCACAACAAGCGCGCGCCTGAGGGCTAGTTCTCGTTTTGGCGCTACAGGGGCCGATTAGTAGGTCTCCAAAGAGGTCTTCATTAGGGACCAGAAATTGTGTTTGGCTCCCAAGCTCCATGGAGCGTGGCTTGTTAAAAGTTGAAAGAACTGACTTAAGTTTCAAAAAAAATCTGAAGAAACACACATATCTATGAATGTATACTACTTGTGTGTAAAGTTTTATTGTGAAATACATTTTTATGCAAGCTACACAAAAATAACAAAATCATTTACTTTCACTATAAAAATACATGATTTTGATTTTTTGTACAGCTCACATCAAAACATATTTTATATTGCAATTTTACACACATGTAGTATACATCTCTAAGTACCTGTGCATTTATTTTCAGATTTCTTTTACACTTTAAAATTCAGCTTTTGAATTTTTTAAAATTTCAGGCTCCATGGAGCCCTAGAGCCAAAAATCCTCTCTTCATTAGGGACCTGCTTCTTCAGCGAAAACAACGCTACCTGTCCAGCAATCTAGGAGTCCTGCCCCACAACAAACCAGGCAGTCTTTTTTACAAAAAAAAAGAAACTTGACTGAATTAACTCAACTCAGTAGAATTATATTTTCCTAAAGAGTCACCGTTTTGCCAAACTTGTTTATCCATCTTAAAAAAAAAACTTGTTCAGTACAAACGAGAGGACGGAACGGTTCCAGGGCTTCGTCAACCCACACAACGCCGGCATCATGTATATCCAGCAGACGTTCTGTCCAGCAAGGAAAAGTTCAGCTTGTTAGCCAAATAAAGACAGTCTGAAGCTAAGATAACCCTGTCAAACCTTGAATCCTTCAGAACAGCAGAACATGCCTTGCTGCCTGGGCTTCCGGTGTTACAGGGATAACGTGCACGCTCACCCAAAAACCATTCAGAAAAACAGCGCGACATGGTAACTCCCTCGACATTCAGATACAGCATACGTAATACTGCACGACCGCATTTCCCCTCGCTCTGTCAAGTGCAGCGGCTTCCCCTTGCTCCACAGCCTCGTCCCTGCATATCCAACCACCATATGTTTTTATTAATCCAGTGGAAGAATGTAAACATTAATTTTATTAAGCTGCATGCTATGTAATAATTTAAAAGAACTCAACTCAGTAGAGTTACAATGTGGCCCTGTTTCACTGAATGGTTCCCCTATTCACACATTCAGATCCATGCTTTACTAAACATAATCTACATTGTGTTATCCAAAACACAAAAACAAAGTTCTGGATTTTTAGATGTGCTTCTATATGTTCTACCTAATTTAATTTGGTTCGCAGGACCAACTCAATTTGCAGAATGTTTGTTTAACATGTTCATGTAGAATCGTTCTGAATGAATTGCAAGTTAACTGACATTTTGTTTACTGCGCAGGCATGAAGATACCAGCAGTGGCTGCCCTTGCTTTTGTTCTCACCCGAGTCTCGCTAGCAAGTCCTGGTTACTGGGCACATGATTGTGATGGGAACTACACAGTGCCCAGCAGCTACCAGAAGAGCTTGGAGCAGCTGTCTGCAGGGCTGCCCGATGCGGTATCCTCCTCCCCAGATCTCTTTGACAAAAAGGTTCTCGGATCCTGGGGGAGCAGGGTATATGGCCTGGGGCGTTGTCGTCCTGGTACAGATGCATCTACATGCAAGGCATGTCTCGACGAAGCCTTCCAGGAAGCACAGGTCATATGCCCATTGAGGAAGAGGGTGTACATGTACTACGAAGTTTGTACCCTAGCATTCGCCGACGAGGACCTTCCATCTCACTCGGCCGTGCACAAAGTTGCCACTAAGGTCAATGGTTCTCAGGTGCCCGCCCAGTGCAGCAAGGTATTCGACATGGCTATCAATGAATTGATCACATATTTGGTGAAGATGGCAGCAGTTTCTCCTCACATGTCTGCCACGGGGCAGAAAGAGTTAGCAGGAGGTGCTTGCACATACAGCATATATGGCCTTGCAGAATGTTTCCCAAAAATGTCAGCTGCCAACTGTAGTGACTGTTTAGAGGATTTGCTGGTCGTACCTTTTCTTCATGGACATCAGAGCGAGTGGAGATCTTCTTTGACGTGCAGCTACAGGTTGGAGCCACGCCCCTTGTTCGATGTTGGCAAGGGCGGGTTAGCCACCCCCGGAGGAAAAAATGGTGAGTTGGCCACATATATATGTATAACCAACTATTCTTTTCTGTTATACATAATTGACTAATGGGTGAAGTATATATATGCAGGGAAGAAGCAGGTTTGGATTGTGGTGGGTTGTGTTGCGGGCGCACTGATAATATTATTGGTCCTACTTCTACTTTGGTGGAAATTGCCGGTACGGTTTCATCTTAATTCTTAATAACCCAACTAGTATTTCTATTTTTCAAAACAGATGCAAAAGAATTGCCTCATCCATTAATTAAGAAGGGAACTACAGAGATGCTGCAAAAGAAAGAACACATCTGAACTAGAAAAGGCGCTACTCTCACAGCATGATGTTTCTCAGATGTTTAGCACATACCATGTCCCAAAGATTGGCTTTACTCTTGATGAGCACCAAAATGTATAGTAGCGGCGTGGACTTGTTTTGAAAGACACAAGCATTTCTCTCATTCCATAAGACCCAATTTGCAAACATAGTGAGGAAAGCCATCGCTTTCTGGTTCGCGGTGGTGGAACTCGACATGTTCCACACAGATTTTATAGGTCACTCATATGCCCATCGAGATAAGTCAAAGGCCTCCAATCCAAGCCAATCCTTAATCATCGTCCACACTCTCAATATGAAACAACATCTGAAGAAGAGATGAGTGGCCAATTCTTGTGCCCTTACGCAAAAGGGCCAAAGCCTACAATTTTGGCCAACCTCACTTCTCAAGTCGATCCGCGGTACACACCCTATTTTGGATAGCAAGCCATGCAAAGGATTCGACCTTTGGGGGAGCCCATGACTTCCAAACAGTTGTGTTCATCAAAGTTAAGAGTAGCTCGCAAGTATTGTGCTTTGTATGCCAATGCCGCCGCTGGCCAAAAGCTTCCATCTTATGTCATCCTTGGCATCGTTATTTAGGTGAACTCAAAGAAGGCCGCAAAGCAAGCTGTGAGTGAAGCAAGGGGTCGGGCGTATGAGGACCTCTACCAGCGGTTAGACACGAAGGAAGGCGAAAGAGACATCTATAAGATGGCCAAGATTTGAGAGAGGAAGACGAGGGATGTTGACCAAGTCAAATGCATCAAGGACGGAGCAGACCAGCTCCTAGTGAAAGACGAGGAGATTAAGCATAGATGGCGGGAGTACTCAGACAAGCTGTTCAATGGGGAGAATGAGATCTCTACTATTGAACTGGACAACTCCCTTGATGATACCAGCAGGCGTTTTGTGTGGCGAATCCAGGAGCCAGAGGTCAAGGAGGCTTTAAAAAGGATGAAAGGAGCCAAGGCGATGGGCCCTGATTGTATCCCCATTGAGGTGTGGAGAGGCCTCGGAGACATAGCTATAGTATGACTAATTAAGCTTTTCAACCTTATTTTTTGGGCAAACAAGATGCCAGAAGGATAGAGACGGAGTATATTAGTACCAATCTTCAAGAACAAAGGGGATGTTCAGAGTTGTACTAATCACCGTGGAAAGAGATGATGAGCCATACAATGAAGCTATGGGAGAGGGTCATTGAGCACCGCTTAAGAAGTATGACAAGCGTGACCAAAAATCTGTTTGGTTTCATGCCTGGGAGGTCGACCATGGAAGCCATTTTCTTGGTACCACAACTCATGGAGAGATACAGGGAGCAAAAGGACCTGCATATGGTGTTCATTGACTTGGAGAAGGCCTATGATAAGATACCACGGCATGTCATGTGGTGGGCCTTGGAGAAACACAAAGTCCCAGCAAAGTACATTACCCTCATCAGGGACGTGTATGATACTGTTGTGACAAGTGTTCGAACAAGTGATGGCGACCTGATGACTTCCCGATTAAAATAGGACTGCACCAGAGATCAGCTTTGAGCCCTTATCTTTTCGCTCTGGTGATGGATGAGGTCACAAGGGATATACAAGGAGATATCCCATGGTGTATGCTCTTTGCGGATGATGTGGTGCTAGTAGATTATAGTCGGACGGGGGTCAATAGGAAGCTAGAGCTACGAAGACAAACCTTGGAATCCAAATGCTTTAGACTTAGTAGAACTAAAACCGAGTACATCAGGTGCGGTTTCAGTACTACTAGGCACGAGAAGGAGGAGGAGGTTAGCCTTGATGGGCAGGTGATGCCTCAGAAGGACATCTTCAGATATTTGGGGTCTATCCTGCAGAAGGATGGGGATATTGATGGAGATGTGAATCATCGAACCAAAGCTAGATGGATGAAGTGGCGCCAAGCTTCTGGCATTCTCTGTGACAAGAGAGTGCCACAAAAGCTAAAAGGCAAGTTCTATAGGACGCTGGTTCGACCCGCTATGTTATATGGCGCTGAGTGTTGGCCGACTAAAAGGCAACATGTTCAACAGTTAGGTGTGGCGGAGATGCGCATGTTGAGATGGATGTGTGGCCACACATGGAAGGACCGAGTACGGAATGATGATATACGAGATAGAGTTGGGGTAGCGCCGATTGAAGAGAAGCCTGTCCAACATCGTCTAAGATGGTTTGGGCATATTCAACGCAGGCCTCCAGAAGCGCTAGTGCATAGCAGATGGCTAAAGCATGCCAATAATGTCAAGAGAGGTCGGGGTAGACCGAACTTGACATGGGAGGAGTCCGTAAAGAGGGATCTGAAGGACTGGAGTATCACCAGAGAACTAGCCATGGACAGGGGTGCGTGGAAGCTTGCTATCCATGTGGCAGAACCATGAGTTGGTTGCGAGATCTTATGGGTTTCACCTCTAGCCTAACCCAACTTGTTTGAGACTATTGTTGTTGTTGTTGTTGTTGTTGTTGTTGTTGTTGTTGTTTAGGAGATCCCAAAGGTCAACAAACTCCAAGATGTGTGCCATGGATATCTCGTTACTCATTGTAATCTTCATAATCCATGCATGCTTTGGAGGCCGTAGAGATGAGGGGCGCGATGCCTTTCGGTTTTCTTCCATGCAGCCAGCAGCCATATTGAGTCCCAAAAGGTCTCCTCATCATTACCAATGGTGATTGTGGTTGAGGCATAAAAAGGTGCATATCCGCTCATGGCTTCTCGAATCCTTCCACTCAAACCATGGCGATGTAAACTGACGCATTCTAGCGAAATTTTCGAGGTGGAGCACACCAGGGCCACCAAGGTGGGTGGGGCGATAAACAGAAAACAGTTTACCTTGAATTTCCCTCCCGCATCTTTGTTCGTTCCCAGCCAAGAAACACCCCCTCTAACTTCTTGACACTATTGAGAACACTTAAGGGATAACGAGGGGTGAGGTAGTACACCGCTAGCAAGAAAGGACGTCTAATGAACACAGTTCGACCAGCCATAGTAATATTCTTCCACTATGAAGGGGGAGCTTTACCACAATCTTGTCTCGGTGCTCAAAATCTACCCTCTTGAGTTACCAAGCCAGGAGCGAGAGGCCAGGGTACTTTATTGGGAGGAAGTTCTCATGGTGGCAAACTCTACAGGGTATCATCAAGGTTGAGGTGTCCACACCAAATAGGAACATCGTAGTTCTTCTAGAAATAGTGGCAAACTCATGACCTCCCCAAAGGAATTCAAAATGGTCGCAAGGTTTTGAATGTCCTCTTTGATTGGGGCGACAAACATAACCGTGCCTTCGTATAAAGGGAGGTACGACAGATAGTGCCCTGACCCCGAATCTTGCGAAGGAGTACATGCCCAATGGCCACATCAAGAATCTGCTACAAGGGGTTGATGGTGAGGACAAAAATGAGCAGGGACAACAAGTCACCTTGCCTTAACCCCCGACAATGATTGATGGGAGGGCCGACAAACCAATTCAGGACTGTCGAGGACAAGGTGCAAAGCAGGGCGTTAATCCAGTCACGAAATCTACTCAGGAAGCCCCTCCGTTAGAGGAGGTCGAACATGTAGCCCCATTGCACAGAGTCAAAGGCTTTGTGGATGTCAAACTTGAAAAGGACGGAAGATGTTTTATTCTTTTGGAGCCTACATGCAAGGTTCCTAACGTACATGAAGTTGTCATGGATGCCCCTCTTCTTGATGAAAGCACATTGGGTGTTGGAAACAAGGTTGTTCATGAGCAGCCTGAGAAGAATGGTAGGCCCCTTGGCTATGATCTTTACAATGGCATGACTGAGGCTAATGGGCGGTTGTGGGAGATCTTTTCTGCCCCCCTCCTTTGTAGGTCTGCGGAATGGCAGGAAGACACACAATGTACAATGTTTGCGGAATTAAGCCATAGGAGGTTTGCCACATGGAGGTCGCCAAAGAGGTGGATGGCATGCAATACGCATTATTAGTAGGAACTCAAATCACATGCATTAAAGCATTGTCTAGTCTTACCTCAATTTAGCCGCAAATAGGCAAAGCACTTGTTACATCACAACATGCACCAAGTTATTCGAAAACTAGAGGCCCTATCCATGTAAGATAATGCTAAACATTAGTCCATTAGAAACAAAGCCTCAATTTTGTAGAATGTAGACAAAAAATGCAAGAAAATGATAACTTAAAGAAAGATAACTTCCAGTTTATGAACCACAAAGACTTTTGAGCCAAACTGCACAAAAAACCATGTCTGAAGTTGAACACCCATTAGGAAAAATGTGTTGTTTGTCTGATGTATTTTATTTTGCTTAAAGATTCAATATGTTTTCTATTGATGGGAATATGTCACTTACCAAATAAAAGATTACATGGAAATCCGTTTGCGAATAAATGCTATATTTGAATAGTATCATTATGTTCAGATAGTGTTTTTGGAGGGAAAACTGTAAGGAAGCCCCGACAATGCTGTTAAAAACTTAGTCTAAATAAGCACAAACTAGGTAAGTATAGGCTAAGAATCAGAAAACGGGAGGCTAACTAGTAAAAAAACAGAAGACTAGAAGGTATATAGGGCAAATTGTGAACACATACTCATTCCTAGTTTTAATCCTGTGCATAAGGGGCATAATTCTTGAAGCCTCGCCTCCATGTAGAAAATGTAGGTCTCTGATGCTCAAATATTCTCCAATTATGTTGCTTCTATATGGACCATGCTGCAAGAACACTCTTCTAGTCATTCCAAAGACAGTGCCATCTAGTTCTACCAATGATTTCAAGCACTACTAGAGGGACACACACTGCACATCTAGTATGTTGGTTGATGATGATGCTAAGTTAACCGACTGCAGGTGCACCCCACAGAACAAAATGAAGCACTAGCGGTGAGATGACGCTCTACTCTATCATGAGTCGTGAAAATTCCTCCACACATTGAAACTGCGGCACATGGAACCGCAGAGGCATCTCCCTCTCCTCTCCCGCGACCGCGCCGCCCCCGCGGGCGGCTGGCCGCGCCCAGCCTTCTCCCCCGCGCGCCTCACCCTCCCCCTTCCTCTCTGCCGCCGTCGCCCGCTGCGGGCCTGGCCCGGGCGATGCTGGTGGCGGCGGCCCCCTGGCTTTTCCCCTCTCGGGTGTCCGTCGGCGCGGGACGGGGCGACCCCGGGCGGTGCTTCTAGGCGGCGGCGGTCCAGCGCGGCGGCAGGGGCTCCTGGCGCGAGCGGGGGTGGATTTCTGGACGGCAGCGGCGCCGTTGGCGGCGGGGCGACGCGGCAGCACGGTCTGGCGGCACCCGCTTGGCCCAGATCTGGGCCCTTCAGGCCCCCTCTGGGCCTGGGCGGGCCGGCGGTGGGGTGGGTCTGCTTCATGGCTTCCGGGAGGCGAGGGAGAGGCGATGAGCGGCAGGGTGCTGGCGGCGCCATCACCAGCTTGGCAGCGTGGCGGCAGGGCTTAGCGGGCCCGTTTCGGGCCTGGCCGAGCTAGGGGTGGCCTGGCATGCCCTGCTGCCGCGTCCGGACGGCTACCGCGACGGTGCCGGAGGCTCTGGCCTCCCGCACGACGGCGGTGGAGGTGGTTCCCTCCCGTTCGACTTTGGTGCTGCTTCTCCCTCCGCGGGGCGCTTCTCTCCGGTCCTCTTGGCCTCGTGTTGGTGTCCGCAGTGAGGCGGCGTGGGTGACGGTGCAACCACGATGGCGCATGGTGGTGGGCGACGGTCTGGCTGGTCGGCTCCGGTCCGTTGGGCGGTGGGGATTGGAGTACGGGAGAAATCCTTGCCGGTCTTCGGCCCCGATGCGGTGACACCTGCGGGTGCCACCATTCCTTCCTGGAGGGTGTCGGTGATATCCATCCCCCACCTCCCTCCGCGTGCCGGGGAAACCCTAGGACATGTCCGGGCAGCAGCGTCGTCGGCGTCGCTTTCCTTCTTGGAGGTGCTGTTTTGTACGCGGTGGTCCGGAGCCTCGAGTTGTAGTGGTTTGTCTCTGGTGGGCGTAGCGGTGGCGGGTCATCCGCGCTTTGTCGAGCTGCCGTTGTTGGCATTTGCTTCTTCTTCTTTTTCTTTTGGGCTTGTTATGCTGTTCGCCCCAGCGATCCTATATCGGTGTTGGTTGCTTTGGAATACAAAGCGGGGGGAAACCCTTTTTCGGTAAAATTCCTCCACTTTGGGTCTAGTAGTGCCCAGAGGGAGCCAAGTCCCAATTTGACAACCAAAGGAGCCTGCTAATTCCTCCAGCACATTAATAGACATCATTGAGGATTTGTGTTAGTTACCGGTTGAGGAAGCAAATGTTTGGAGCAGAGACTTGAGGTGCAAAAGCTGACCTTTAGATGCTGGCAGTACAAGCAATATGCCATCATCTGAAAATCTTGATTATCAAGTTCACGTATCTCTACTCCTATAAAAGACTCAGTTGGTGATGATGGTGTGTCTGCCATCCGTCATTTCTGACCATCAGATCTGCATCTAACGACTGTGATGTAAGCCGTGGCAGTTTTTCAACAAGACCCCACTTCTCTGCTCCAATTGCAGAAACCCCTTAGTATCTTGAAAGCAACCACATCCCTCCCCCACCTCATCAAAACAGCCACGAGGAATATATTTTGAGTGAAACCTAATACGAGTATATTTTTTGCGATATATATACCAAAACTAGAGTGTTTTTCTTTCAAGTTTGTGAACATGTATTATTCTACTTTGGATCCGTTGCAACGCAAGTGCACATTGCTAGTTGGAAGAGAAAGCGTGACACTCCTATAAGCCTCATTCACCATAGTTAATGGTAGATCTGCGCCTAAACAAACAATAGAGAGAGAGAGAGAGAGAGAGAGAGTCGCCCTGTCTCACTCCAAGCTTACACACAAATTGCTTCCCTGAAACTCCATTCAATAGTATTGATGGCATCGCTGATGACAAAACTAGTTCCACCCATTGCAACCATCTTTTGTAAAAGCCCTTCTATTTCAGAATTGCAAGTATCACAAAATGTTCAATTATGTCAAACGCCTTATCAAAATTCTAACTTCAATATTCCATTCAACCTTCCTGATTTTTGGCATTTGATATAAGTCCAAGCCAAGCAATCTTGGATTGTTCTTTCCCTAATGAAGTCATATTGATTGGTATGTGAACAATTTAAGATTTCCCTTTGGAGTGTATCTGCCAATATCTTCATTAGAAACTTAATACACAAATTGGTTAAAGAGATAGGCCTATAGTCATGACCATTCTCCAAAGATTGTTTTATGGGGCCAGAGTACTTAAGGAACCATTGAAATTCTCCATTTTGGCTTTGCCCAAGTAGAAATCATCACATAGTCTGAATATATCTTCAAATATAATACTCTTAACATTTCTTTATGAACATCCCATTAAAAGCATTTGAGCCTAGGGCCTTGTCCAATGGCCTCTTTTTAACAATTTGATTTATTTCATCTCGGGTGGAAGGTAGAGTCAGGGATTCAAGCCTGTGAAATCTTTCAAGCAATCTTGAAAGATCAAAACCCATTATAGGTTGCTGCAAGAGGGACGTGGATCTTTGGGTCTTGAGGGCCAACCCACTCAAATTGGGGGCCCATTTGGCTTTCTGTACTCCTCTAGAGCTTCCATGAATAAAATCACGACATTACACCTTTCAATCAATGATTTCAAATTCGAAAGACTTTTGTTATATGTTTCAGTTTATATTGTACCTTTTTACCTTTTTCAGTAAGTATTGCTAGTTTGCTACACTGCCTTGCTCTTTAGTACGGCTGACACCAGGATTCCTCCACACTGAATAAAACATACTGTTCCATCCACTGATTTTCGAACATAAATTGCTGCTGTTGCTATTTCTGTATCAATACTCACAACACAATTTAATGGTGTTCGACATATGTTCTAATAATCGCATAATATTCAATCTCAAAATTTTGAATTATTTGCTGACTGACATATGTAAAGAATTTCTAATGTTTTATTTTTGCAGGCTAAACGCCCTTCTGCCATAAAGTTCTTTGATGATATCATAGCCAACGTCCAAGGAAAGACAATTGTGATGTTTTTAGACTACGACGGTAGGTTAACGCCGATTGTGAAAAAGCCTGAAAGGGCCTTCATGTCCGAGCAGGTAAGCCTAATGAGCTTGACCAATATTTACATGCTACTAGTTAAGATGTCTGAATCATCTTCATCCCCAATTTGAAATCTCCAGACGCGTAATGCTGTTAGAGAACTTGCGATGGCGTTCTCGACTTCAGTCGTCACCGGAAGGAGCTGTGAAAAGGTACTAGGATAGTAACAAATCTACAACGTTTTAATTTGGGGTTCTATACATCTCTAAACATTGACTCGACATGCTTTGCTATCATGTTCAGGCGAAAGGGTTCATACAGCTCGACGAGCTGCACTATGCAGGGAGCCATGGGCAGGACATCCAACTGGTAAGTCACTGTCTACTCTTGCAATACCGAAATGTAGTCTACTTTTTTATATAATGGAAGCTTCTATTACCCCAGACTCTGCTCATAGATACATTCAGCCATACGAGTTAATTACACCTGTAGTACAAGAACTCGCAGCGAACTAACAGAACCATAAATAAACTAAAAACCCCATAAAAATGGTACACAAACTTAACAAACAGCACATTTTGATGCAATTTCCGTTAATCCTAACGGTGTACTGTCTATAGCTGTTAACTGCCATGTGTGCGTGGCCTGGGCCCTGGTGCTCTACCTATGTATGGGTTCCATTTGACAGATA